CCCGCCAAACCCCCTCTGAAATCTCTTTCCCTCTCTGGATCGAAAACCATCTCCAGTGCTAAGCACACCCAAACTTTGCCACAAGCTTCAAAGAGGAAATTTGTGGCTTACCATCTTCTTGGCACAAGAATCTGAAAGCCATCATTCGGTTTGCCCTCATTTAAATACTTTGATATGGTGGGGTGTCTGAATGCAGCTTGAGAGGATTTGATTCGCTGCGGTTGGATCGAAAATGTCGGATGGGGGGACGTCAGGCCGCCTTCTCTTCTCTACGCATCGAGCTGAGAATATGGGAATTGGGTAATTCATGGAGGACAGGCATATTCATATCTGTCCGGAAGACTCAATGTTACTTTCAGGTTGAGGGCAAATGCTTCCAGATAGCAATTTCAGGGAAGCATAGAAGGAGAAGGTTAGGGTTTATCTCTTGCCTGTAGGCATCTTAGAAGCTTCTGGCTTGCCACTATGAGAGTAAAAAAAAAATAAAATAAATGCTGCCCTAAGATATAGATATGGATCAAACAAATAGCAAAATCTCTAGCGTGGGCATTTAGGGCAGAGTCAGGGGGTTGCATGAAACCACCCGGTGCCTAGTGTGTTTCACAACAGAAACGGAAAATGCGATAGGGTATCTGACCTAGTCAGTTTCACCTCATAAGAGGCAGTGTGGTGTAATGGTGGCAGTGGGCTTTCAGCCAGCGACGCCCTCCAGGTGACTTTGGACTATTCGGGGTGTCTGTTGGGTAAATCATGTGTGCGTAGGTGTGAACATGTGAAGATGGCAGTCACAACCATGCAACCGAAGCCCCATAGCTCTTTTTTATCTGCATCGTAGTGCGCAGAAAAAAGGTGCGGGGTTTGACTGCGTGATTTTGGCTGGTATCGTGGTGAAGGCCCCAGGCTAGAAAGCAGGAGAATCTGAGTTCTAGTCTCACCTTAGGCATGAAAGCCAACTGAGTGACTTTGGGCCAGTTCCTCTCTCTCAGCCCAGCCCACCTCACAGGGTTGTTGTTGTGGGAAAAATAGGAGGAGGAAAGCGTATTAGGTATGTTCGCTGCCTCGAGTTGTTTATAAAAATAATAAAAGGTGGGATAAAAAATCTAAAAAACCAAAAACCAGCCGTATTTAGTGTCCAAATCCAGCTTGCAAATGTCATGTTATATTTCGAAATGAAAAGGAGCATCGCCAGATTCAACGTTGCTTCCAAGAAGGGAGAAGACAAGTTTGGGGGGCTTCTTCTGCCTTTATTTCTAATACGGGGCAAAATTGCTGTTTGGTAACTCATTGTTTCCCCCATTTCAAAGATGCAGGGACCTGCCGTCCGTGTAACAACACAGAAATCCTGATGGCCGTTTGCACGAGTGATTTTGGTGAGTGTGTTTTCTGCAGGGTTGTTTATTGCTCTGTTCACCATCATAAATGGGGGGGATGGAGCGGGGAGACGGGCTTTCTTTAAAGCAACCTGATCCTGCCGGTGATCCCAGGCACATTCAAATCTGAAGACCCGCTCAGTCCTCCTAAAAGCTGCCACCAACTTATAATTTTCCATCGGCAAGCGTGGGAAAAAAATATTAAATATAGGAGCATTTCCATTAACTTGAATGACGGCATTTCTGAAAGCAGCGGAATCTTTTTCTTTTTTTTCTTTTTAGGCTTGCGCAGAAGTCTGGAAAAAGTCGGGTACTTTAACAAATAGCTAAGAGGGCTGTGCTCATCAAACATAGATTTCATTTTGCTTCCAAGAAGGGAGAAGACACGTTTTGGGGGGTATAGTACTTCTGAATTATTTCCAAAGTGGGCACACGCCCTTCGCCAGCATCACCATACGGATCTTAGTCCTTATTGCCATCACCATCGCTCTATTAAGGCAGGGTCTTAATATTCCCATTTTACAGATGAGAACATATAGATGAGAACATGAAGGGGGAAGATACAAATTATAGGGATAGTCATCCATACATATCCATAAATGTTTATGCTACCTCACATGTTTTATAGATATTTATGATCCATAGCTATTTAGTTATAAATATCCATATGTATAGATATCCATAAATATGGATGCTGAGGGAATTTCTTAGGCCTGAGCTGATAATCCTGTGAATGTCCAGTCACAAATCTTTCTGACTGTTGAAAGCCAATTCTTGCCTTTCAGTTAATTCCAAAACCAAGTAGATATCAAGAAGGAACAACTTTGGTGCCCCTATAGTAATTGTCTAACTCTCTCAGGAAGTGAACCAACTGTTTCTTAATAAGATTGCTGAAAACAACATACAGGAAAATAGAAATGGATTTTTCCATAAAAGGGATGTTGAGCTTGGCGCGTGAACTGAGCCCACCTCTGTTCTAAGTATGTATTCATACTTTGACCTACCTGCCTAAACACTATTTGACTTCTGGCTTCTTGCTGGGAGAGGAAAAAACCCCCCATACCTGACATTTGTCCAGTAATGTTACTGCATACTTTGTGCTTAGGTGCTTCGGTAATTCTTATTTATTTGTCTGTAAGTTTCTAATCCAATGGGTTTGCACAAAATGCTAGACTATGCTAAAACAAAGACCCGTAATTTATGGTTCAACGTGTTGTGTAAAGCCCAGCCTTGGTCTTATTATGTGGTGTGAATGGCCCGTCATGTTGAACCATAATAAAGCTGCATGTTAGTTGACCCAGCTCTAGGTATTGTCTTAATTCAGGGTTAGGGTTAAATGCATTGTACAGTCATTGACAGAGATCCCCTTAGGTGTCATGGAAACATCAGATCGGTATTTAGTATGGACCTTCTTTTGGGCTCTGAAAGCAGGGAATCGTTGGACCTCAGAGGTACTGTAGCTCAAGTACCATTCTGAACAGTCCTAGCTGGTCTCTGTAACGGTGAAGGAGGCTGGGAGTTGTAGTTTAACGACCTCTAGAGAGCCAGAAATTCCTATCACTGTTCTAAAAATAATTCCTTGTGAAAACCCACCGAGCTTCTTCTCTGACTGTCTTCTACATACCATCAAGACTTTTCTTCTTGGAAAATCATTGGGTTTGCAGGAAATATGGGGTGGATTAACCCCCAACCCATAAGTGTCCTCAGGAGAGAATTGGGAGGGAATGAGATTACAGGTGCCGTGATGCCCTTAGGCCAGTGTTTCTCAACCTTGGCACGTGAAGATGTCTGGACTTCAATTCCCAGAATTCCCCAGCCAGCCATGTTTTCTGTTTTCTGGGCTACTGCTTGAAATGATCTTTTAAAAGTGGGGGGGGGGGAAGGCTGAGTGATCACTGATCCCCTTGACACGCATTTGCCCTTTTACCTCCTCAACCTTCCCCTGCCCCCATCCTGCAGTTATCCGTGGAAATATCCGGGCCGTCTCCAACGACATGGAAGCCCAAGAATCGATCATCAGTGTGAGCGCCACTCGGATCCACCGACAGAAGTTTCCCTTGTTCCAACCGGTTGGCAAATTGGGAAAATCCACAGGCAACATCCACACCCTGCTACGATGTGGGGTAAGGCCTGGTCCGGGCAGTTTTCTATTCACCGGGTGGATGCACTTTGCAGAGGCCTGGCTCAGCTGTGCTCCCCGCTACAAAGACTTCCTCCGCATCTACGAGGAGGCGCGCCAGGCTCACGAAAACCCCTGTGAAGTCTCATTGGACTGATTGGAGATGGGAAGAGGTCAGGAAGAAGGGAAGCCCCTGGGGGGGCCCACACTGTGATTGGGCCAGAAGCAGCCGCCTCATCTCAGCAGTGGGAGGTGAACCCTGTCCTTAGACCCAAGAAGGACAAGCTCTTTCCTTACTCTAGAAGACCAAATGGTTCTACCAACCCATAACTCATTCCCTGGTTCTCTGTGAATGAGTTGTCTCAGCCAAATCCAAGTGGACCATCCAGAGCTGTTCTCTGATAAGGTTGGGAAACGTCTTCTTTGTGCCATTACCAGAAGAACATTTCCTTGCGTTGATTGTTCTGGGAATGAAGGAACCTCTGGGCATAATGTACAACCAAGTTATTTGGGGTTTATGTTCATTGAATCCATGGGACTCATGGAACTCAAAGAATCCTGGTGGTTCAAGCTTGTGGGAAATTTCAAGCAAAGGAAGCCCTCTGATGTTCTCTAGATGTTTTGGACTACAGCTCCACAAACGCTTGCTACTGGTTCGGAGCTGATGAAAGCTAAAGTCCAAAGCATTTTTAGAGGGCATTTGGTTCTTTGCCCCATATTTTTGAGATCTCTGAAATTACCATCGCAGAACTACATTCCCAAGATTCTTCAACCTTGAGAAAGACTACGTGTCCAATCCTAGAGATCAAAAGCCATTGGACATAACGTCATGGCAGAAGAGCCTCCAGAAAGTGGTCCTGGCTGCAGAGATCAACTTTCATTATTTACACTATTGGAAAAAAATACATCTCCTAGTCTTTGTGATTTCAAAAATGTGCTTGAACTTATATGATAATTATTTAGCGAAGCTGGAGAGGTGGGCAAAAGTATATGCAGTCCTACGAGGAAGTTAGTATAGGACTGAATACCATCTTCTCTTTAGGGCTCCTGTATCCAGGCTGCAAGAAAACTGGACAACAATTACATGTCAGCAAAGAATGAAATCTCTTTTACTGCATTGTGGTGGTTTTCTGGATTTTTGGAGCCTATATATGGATGACTTGTCCTCCTGGCTGTGGGAAAAAGATAGAGAACTGAGAAAGGATGCGTGTCTTCCCTTTATCACTCCAAATTCCACGTAGCTCTTCTATCATCACCTTGGTGCTAATGGCCGATTTCTACCCCCGCAACACCACAATGTGGAGTTGGCTGACAACTTTGTCTGTTTCCACCAAAAAAAAAAAAATGCTGTGTATTCAGGGTGCCTTACAGACTAACCAATTTATGGTGACATAAGTATTTATGGACTAAATTCCAATTTGTCAGAGGTTCACAGTGTTATCTTGAGTTTCTTGTGCCGGGGTTGGTTGGCAGGACGAGAGAGAAAATTGTAAACGATTGCATTGAAACCGGGTGATCAGCAAGAGCTAAGAACAGGGGTAATTACCTGATGAACAGCCATTCACAAAAAACGTTGTTGGGCCCAGCAGGCAACTTTGGAAGGGGAGTTGATTAGCACATGCAGCGTGATTTATTGTTTTTAGAAATTGTTCTTATTCAAGCCACAGAGATGACGAGTTGGACCTTTTGATGAATTCAGGCGCAGGGGCCTCGAAGTCTCCCTAAACCATTATCAGCAGAGAGCAGGACAGCAATTTGCCTCCCAGAGTCACCTTGTGTGAGATGGGCGGCTATATAAATATGATAAATAATAAATAAATAAAAAATAAATAAATATTCAGATGCAGGAACCAAATTCTTGCAAGCCACCAATAATTAATTGCATTATTACAGAATCCTTTAATGGCCTCTGTAAAATAAGATTGTCATGCACCTTTTTAGGAGTGTCTGCAGGATCTGGTCAAGAAATTGTGTGTGTGTATACACACATACACACACACCCCTGCACCTTTTCGTGTTCCCATATGCTATATCTTACCATCTGTCCCAAATGCCTCTGTATTGCAAAGAAGCCAATCTGGCCTTCAAGGAATAAATAGTTACAAACCGGACATTGCAAATCTCAGCGTGCAAAAACTGTTTGGGAAATGCTTCAGCCTCTCAAGATAACTCTGTCCTAGGTAGCGGTGGCGGGTTCACCCCATATGCCAAGTTATAAACTGGAACTGATAAACCACCAGGGCTGGGGTCCCCCATCCCGCCAGCTTGTAATGTATGACATTTGTGGCTTAACATGTTGTGTGAACCTCGTTTCGGTGTGTTTAAGGGGAATTCTTGTGGAGCAAAGAGGTGCCTTGGCTTCAGCTGTGGCTCCCATCCTCTAGAACAGTGTTTTTCAACCTTGGGAACTTTAAGATGGGTGGACTTCAACTCCCAGAATTCCCCAGCCAGCCATGCTGG